GTTTCGGGTGTTTTTCCATCAAATAGAGATGCTCATTCCGAGTCAGAATCTGTATTTCGATGGTTGAAATTCCTACTCCGACCGGGAGAAACGCTCTCTTCCATGTTCGCACATGCAATGTGAATGTGTGTGGCCGTGGAAAAAATGAAAATTTCGATTTCGGATCCGAAGTTCGTCACGATCGTAGATATCGTTTCGGGTGTTTTTCCATCAAATAGAGATGCTCATTCCGAGTCAGAATCTGTAATTCGATGGTTGAAATACACATTCCGAGAGGTAGAAACGCTCTCCTCGATGTTCGCCGATATGCGCAGTTGAATATGTATAGATGGTGGGTGTGAACCTTAAGTGGGAAGTCGCTTTTACGATCGATTGTAGATATCGTTGGTAGTTTTTTTTGAAAGAGAGATTGTTTTTCACAGTGAGAAAGAAGATGTGATGCTGAGAAATTCTGTTTTGACAGAGAGAAAGGCTCACGGGTATGTTGTTGGATTTGGTCGGCATGCGTATACGTGCAGCGGAGGTGAGAATTTGATGGTCAATTCGGATTGGTTTGTTTATTGGTAGGATTGATGTGGTAGGCTTTTGTATATAAGGGGAATGGAGTTCGGATATGGAGCGTTATGATTTTGGCTAATACATGGTTTGTGAAGTGAAAGAGGCTTCATTTCAACCTTGAATAAATATTTGCTTAGCGTATGGAATCTGGTAGTGGGGAACTGGGAGGATCGGTGTTTTTACTCTGTGGATAGGAATGAAGATTTAGTTTTGACGCTGTATATGTAGGAATCTGATGCTGTGTTGTCGAATTGCATTTAGTTTGAGATTTGAAGAAGTTTTGGTTTTTTGCCAAATATCTTTAGGGTATTTTTTGTATGCCGTGGTCTTTGCCTGAGTAGGTATGGTGGAAGCGATGAGTGACCTTTTGGTTTCATGCGAATCAGGATTGGCGCTGTTTCTCATGCATTTGTCTGAGATGGTGATCGGCATAGTGGGCAGTGGTTGTGCAGAAGAGGGTGTTTCTTGAATATACAGGTATTACTTATTTAGAATGTTGAGCCATTGCAACTGCCGCAACCTGCGACTGTGATACGGAATGGTCTTAAAGAGCTCTCGGAGCGATAGTTCAGATTTTGTTTGGAGCAGCAGTTCTGGTGCAGATGTTTAGGCGTTTTCATTATATGCCATTAGCATGGGTATCTAATGACAAATACGAAATATCTATGCCGAACGCATCACATACGGAGAAATTGTACTGGGTAGAAAAAGCAAGACGCTCAAAATTTCGACACTTACGGTCCGTATGTTTCCGGTTTTGCATTGCACAACGCAGTTGCTTCGGTTGNCCGCTTGAACTGGAGTATGATTTGCTTTAAGTGCTCCATCAGCGATATGAACATTAATATGTTTCGCATCACCTCCAACAGTCATGCTGTACGTATTTTTAGTTTCGAAATTACCAATTTTAAAAGCCATATTCAACAGAAAGTGAAAAAAAGATATAAGTAAATTTTGATGTGCTTCTTCGAATGTAGTTTGTATAAGAGCTAATAGTTTGTTTTTACTTTTTACATGTAGCTATGAAAAGAGATATAAGGAGCGAATCTTTCTAATCACGTACTCAACAAAAGCTTGTCCATCATCATCAAGGATGCATGATATCATTTACTCGTACAAGTAACGAATTTTCCTTTTTGCTTACAAAACTGAAGTCTTATAAATGATCATATTAAAGGAAAAATATTGAATATGATTGTTACTTTATTTTGAACGAAAAAAGCGAGAATAAAAATGAAACAATGCTCAACACATCTAGCTACAATCTAACTATGAATCTATTGAAATGCATGCACAAACAAGAGAAAAATGTCATTTCACGCGATGTCATCGAGGATATTAGACTTTATATCCATCTTTATTTTTTTTCTGGAGACTTTTTAGCCGATGCTGTAGTATCGATCGAATAAGCCGGTGGTTCGTCCACGACACCTATCTCTACAGCTGTACTTCGACAATGTTGAAATAAACACCAGATAACGACAGCAACAATCATTAGTAAAAGCAGTAGCATATTAATGAGCATAACTGTATTGTGAATAGTAAGTATGCTCATAAGTTTACGAACTCCATTGCGAACTTTTTCATTGATCACAGCTGTTAGCTGTTTAAGCAATTTAGCCGCATCACACAAATTGTATGTAATAATTTGCGTATCATAGTTAGAGACTTTGGAAACATATGGACCCATACTAAATCAAAACGAAAAGGAAATCAATCAGAAAAAATGGTACATTCTATCTAAACCTCGAATTCATCTCCACTAATTTCGTCAATCGCAACATTTCTCAACTTTGAAAACTTACATTATAATGAATGGAATTTATCCAAAACAGTATTACACTTTTTAATTTCAGAGAGGACGATTCAACACGAATGCCGAGCGACTACCAACAGAGAGACGACCGGCAAGCTTCACCAAACCGAAATAGTAAATAAATGAAATTCTTTTTAACACGTCCAACTGACAGCGCATATACCCGCATAATCTCTTACACAATCGTGATAACAAACCATGATACGTGCACACATAATGTGCTTTCATCCCATACCCTCACGATCAGACCAACCATTATTATAATTGCATGTTCACCTTCCTAAGTATATTCACTCCGACTAATTATCCACTTCCATCCAACTCAACTCCCACAGCCAAATATTCACACCCAAGAGTATCCACAGAACCAACCACCTAAAACTACATCAAATGTAGCGAAGATTAAAAAAAACGTTTTCTCTTATCCTATCTACTACTATATCCTAAAATCCTCCATTCAAAATTATACCATTACACAGAGCAATTAAATCGAAATCGCATTCCTCATTTTCACCTATACACAGATATCCTCACACGAACGAATGTTCTCCTCCACGTTCGCACATACAAAGTGAATGTGTGTGGCTGTGGAAAAAACGAAAATTTCCATTTCGGATCCGAAGTTCGTCACGATCGTAGATATCGTTTCGGGTGTTTTTTCATGAAACAGAGCTGCTCAGTCCGAGTCAGAATCTGTATTTCGATGGTTGAAATTGCTATTCCGAAAGGGAGAAACGCTCTCTTCCGTCTTCGCACATACAATGTGAATGTGTGTGGGTGCAGAAAAAATGAAAATTTCGGTTTCGGATCCGAAATTCGTCAGCATAGTATATATCGTTTCGGGTGTTTTTTCATCAAACAGAGCTGCTCATTCCGAGTCAGAATCTGGATTTGGCTGGTTGAAATACACATTGCGAGAGGTAGAAACGCTCTGCTCGATGTTCGCAGATATGCGCAGTTGAATATGTATAGGTGGTGGGTGTGAACGTTAACTGGGAAGTCGCTTTTACGATCGATTGTGGATATCATTGGTAGTTTTTTTTGAAAGAGACATTGTTTTTCGCAGTGAGAAAGGAGATGTGATGCTGAGAAATTCTGTTTGGAGACAGAGAAAGGCTCACGGGTATGTTGTTAGATTTGGTCGACATGCGTATACGTGCAGCGGAGGTGAGAATTCGATGGTCAATTCGGATTGGTTTGTTTATTGGAAGGATTGATGTGGTAGGCTTTTGTATATAAGGGGATGGAGTTGGGATATGGAGCGTTATGATTTTGGCTAATACATGGTTTGTGAAGTGAAAGAGGCTTCTTTTCAACCTTGAATAAATATTTGCTTAGCGTATGGAGCCCGGTAGTGGGGAACTGGGAGGATCGGTGTTTTTACTCTGTGGATAGGAATGAAGATTTAGTTTTGATGCTGTATATGTAGGAATCTGATGCTGTGTTGTCGAGTTGCATTTAGTTTGAGATTTGAAGAAGTTTTGGTTTTTGCCAATTATCTTTAGGGTATTTTTTGTATGCCGTGGTCTTTGCCTGGGTAGGTATGGTAGGAGCGATGAGTGACCTTTTGGTTTCATGCGAATCAGGATCGGCGCTGTTTCTCATGCATTTGTGTGAGATGGTGATCGGCATAGTGGGCAGTGGTTGTGCAGAAGAGGGTGTTTCTTGAATATACAGGTATTACTTATTTCGACTGTTGAGCCATTGCAACTGCGGCAACCTGCGACTGTGATACGGAATGGTCTTAAAGAGCTCTCTGTGCGATAGTTGAGATTTTGTTTGGAGCAGCAGTTCTGGTGCAGATGTTTAGGAGTTTTCATTATATGCCGTTAGCATGGGTGTCTAATGACAAATACGAAATATCTATGCCGAACGCATCACATACGGAAAAATTGTACTGGGTAGAAAAAGCAACGTGCTCAAAATTTCGACACTTGCGCTTTTTATCTTTCCGATTTTCCATTGCACAACACGGTTGCTTCGGCTGCAGTTTTGTATGCAAAGGCGTTACCGAATCTGATTTCTGCAATAGGAGTTTGATTAATTTTCTTTGACTCTGATAGTTATTCTACATTCCAGTCGTTTATTTATAGACTTAACTGCCTCTTTAACACGTCAGCCTATAGATTATATCTTTTCATTCACCCTTCCTTCTTTCACTCTAATCCACCATCGAGGTTGATCTCAATCTTTTCAAAGCCTGCATCGCTACTGATTGACTACATCGATTTCCTGTAGTCACTGCAACACCCATAAATGTATACCACGCGTGAAGTGTTCTCTGCGAGCGCTCAGACGGCCTTCGGCCGCCCTCGCTATCACAGTTAATCTCGATGCTTTCTTCAACGAAAATCCACCATCAACAGCCCTCCCAAATCATGTTTTCTGACTTCTTGATCAATTTCGAACAAAATGTTTTTCTGTCGCTAAACCCCGACCCCCCTGTCAACATACACCCTCAACCACCCTCCCAAACCATGTTCTATGACGTGTTGAGCGTTTTTGGAAAAAATGTTTTTTTGACCTTTGACCTGCGACAGACACACACACACAAACGAATTTCCGTTTTTTGACCACTTTTTTTCGACATGACCCTCCTTTCAGTCGAGGAAAAAGATTTTATGATATGAGTCCAACTCAAGATCAGGTAAAAACGATAATAATATATTACATTAACAGTAGTGTATAAATTTATCATATTATTTAGATTTGTTTGGCTAAAATTATTTGGCAAGCGACAAGAGAAAAATTGAAAGCTGAAGAAAATGTAGCCATTCTTAAGCAACGTATCTATACGAAACGATTACCTGCATCATTTGCTCTACTCGATCATTCCATTGATAATATGGAACAGATATTAAAGCAACCCATATTCAATGAAGATAAACGTGCAGAATTATCCTATCTTCGATCGAAAACAATTGCTCAATTCAAATCCGATATGATACTATTAGAGATTACTACTGCTGAAGAGGCAGTTCGAAGTCATACAAATATTATTGCTGAACAAAAGAAGAAGTTCATTGATACTGCTAATGGACAAGTACCACTGCCAAAATCGTTGATTCAATTAAATAATAACATTACAGCACGACAAACCAATTTAACACAACGTCAGCAAATTATTCTTAAACAGAAATTATCGGTTTTCGACCGCGCTCCGATGGTAATGAACGTGGCTGGTACCATCGGAGCAATGTAACAAATAATTTCAGTCATATTCTTNATTTTAATACATTATGGCTCATTTAGTTTCATTAGTGCTAGTTTAGTATTATTATTGCTCATTTAATTTTATTAATGTTCATTCAATATAATTATTGCTCAATCAGTATTTTTAGTGCCAATTTTCGTTATTGCTCATTTAAGTACTTTTAATGCCCACTTAAATACAAGTCATTATTTTAATGTATGTCGGAATACGAAGTAGTATGATTTGTCATGGATGAAATTGTGCGTTGGGAAGAAAAAGACTAATACTTAAATATTCGTTCTCATCTCTACACGTGAAGAAAAGAAGAAATGTAGGCAAAGATAAGCAATATATTTTCATTATATCAATTGTCAAAGGCATAAGTACGACTACAACCTTGAGGGTGTGAGCAACGGTAATGGATCTATCTTCCATTTCCACTCACACCCACGTTATTTGTACGCAATTGTCCATATAATTTTACTGCAATCGGTGTAAGAAATCGAAATATTATAGTTAAACCACCGTATACACCAAATAAGGTGTTAATAATATCAAGAGTATTCTTACGTTGACTGAACGAGTATTTACACCATAAAGGTGCACAAGTAGAAAAGTAACTAGTATAGTTGATAGCTGTCTTCCATTCTTCAACAAAAAGTGCATCAATTAGTTCTCCAATCGGTAATGTTGTGTTTTTAATTAGCGATGCATCAAGAGAAACAAGATTAAATCTAGTTCGATCAATGGCCAAATCAGCAAGCAGTCGAGTAAGACAAGCCGTTTGCGAGAAACATTCGAGTGTTGATAAGCGTAACCCATCGATAACTAAACAACCTCGAAATATACCGGGATATGATGTGTTTGTAGAAAATATGAGTGGCGTTGAGCATGCTGATGAACGATCGCATGAGCAAGAGAATGAACTATTCCAGATCGGAAATGTACGAGGAACTGTATTGATTAAATATTGTTCTTCAGAATTTGTCAGCTCAATCTGCCAGTTAGACAAAAGCATGTTCATAAATTGGTTTGCTCGAAAGTTTTCGACGATAAACGTAAGTGTATGTTGAAAATCAACGGATGTTTGCTTAAGAAATGTCGTAATGATAGTATTCGTTTGGGCTACAACGGTATCTTGTGGTATAACTTGGAAACTGATGAGTTTATTAGCAATCAAAACATGTATAGCATCATCGATTGTATTTTGAGTTACTTGACACATGGAGGAGAGAAGTCTCATATGAGTGCTGAAAAGTGACTGATCCGAATCAGTCCGATTATTAAAGACACTATTCCACCATGGAATGGTAACAAAAGTACTCGTGCATATGGTATGTCGAACTGATGAGATTGATACGAACATACTGTACGGTACCGAGTTTTGTGAACAAGGACATTTAAGAGAGAAAATATTGGTTTGTTGATACAATGCGTTCACGATGGATGCATTCGGTGTCGAAATAGTTTCCGAATATGTTTGTTGCTGAAAACTAAAAAATAGAAGAATAGAAATGAGACATCCATACAATAAGATACAATAGAGACGAGTTGCTGCACGTTGCATAGCAATAGTCATTGTTGTCACTTTTGAAAATAAGTTTATCGACCACAATGCGGACCATACTCTGACAAGTTTTCTTTGCAGAGAAACTTCAACAACTAAAATTACTGTTCTTTGATTGATAGATCTAATACTAAGACATTTGAAGATTATTTTCATTCCGAGTGGTACAATGAGTCGTAAACAAAGAGTCAAACCTGTCCAAATACCAATTAGACTAGCGGTCATGTGAAGTATATCAAATCTACGAGTATATGTATAAGTACATTCAGAAGGTGCACACTGGTTATAATATTTTTCATAACTACTCATTGTTATCCATTCTTCAATGAATAGTTGAGCTGTAATTATATCAACAGTAGTATTAGGTAAAAAACGACTTTTTATATAGGGATTGAGAGTAGAAATATTTAGTGTAGCACGTTCCAGTGGTTTTATAATAGTATCACTTATATTGAAAGAACGCCATGCAATCAATAATGCTAAACATGATGGATCATAAATACATTCCAGACTGGAGAGAAGTCCAGCTTCAATAGGAAAACATGCACCGACGAAACCAGGCACTAATTGCGCGCTACCTTCAGTATTAAATGGCATACCTAATATCCACATGGGATAAAAGCCACGTAGACCACTACACTGACTTGATATACCACAAGAACAATTATTGTTCTGCGTTATAGGTATAAAACCTATAGTTTGATTGTTTTGTGGAGCAAAGATAGCACTGGTACTCGGAGCGGCAAAAAGTTGATTGTCACTTATTGAAACTCGAATCAGTTCAAACAAACGCGTAAATGATGCCACCGTTTCAAGTTCGAATTGCGCGATTATTATGGCTGTTTGAGCATCGAAGTCGTTGCGTGTCAGTAGATTCGAAGTGATTAGATCTGTTAAATTGAAATTGTTCACAGCGCCATCTATAATTTCATCAGCCATATCACATAATACTTGTAACAAGCTGAAAAATATTTGTCCAGTAACACGAAAGTCATTCGAATTCCAACTTAAAAGAGCAGCCCTTGGGCCTAGATCAAAGTAAGCCAACCAAACGTCGGTTATAAATGCACTTGAACATACTTGATGATAGTGTACCTGAATATTCATGATTTTATTGTATTTAATGGAAAGATCCGAACAGCTACATATTAAATTTGACGAATATATTAGTTCGGCATTTTCATATTGAGCTAGAGTTGGTGAACGTATCGTGATAGTATACATATCAGTTGCTAATGATGTATAAATTGAAAAAGTAATTGCTCCGATAAGCAATAAACTAACATAGACACGGGTTGAAATTATACCAATATGAATATTATCGGATTCGAATAAATCAAATGTGAGAATTTTTTCTTTAACTAGACGAAAAATTTGAAGAAGACGAGTCGATGTTCCGGGATGGATTTCTTCGGCTTCTTCCAGTTGTTCGATCTCAGTTCGTACTAGTGTTATTCGTCGATAGAATTTAATAAGCAATGGTGATAACAATCGAAAGATTACACATAGACCGCCAAAGATGCTGGTAACCGTCGTGACCATATGAAGCACATCAAACCGCCGTGAATATATATAAGTACACATTAAAGGAGCACATTCGCTGAAATAGCTGATATAATCACTGGTATTGTGCAAAGATTCCAGAAACAATTCTGTAAACAATACATTCACAGTTGTGTTGGGTGAGAAACGTGATTTTGTTAGTACAATAGTTCCATTGAAAGGGTCATCGAGCATAGTGAGACATGATCGATTGAAAAAACATTCCAAAGTCGATTGCAGTATCGAACTACTCGGTGTACAACCAGTTAATATACCAGGAATGATTGCGAGTGGTGGAGATTGAGGTAAAATCAAACCACCAAGGCCATTCCGTGGATCTTCATTATATATACCAGCAGGAAATGTACATTCAAATGTTGAGGTACATGAACAAGAAGGAACAGATGTACTAAATGGATCGGTTTCATTTGTCATAATATCCGTTGGATATATGCTCCAGTAAGTATCAAAAACACGAGAGCCTGGTATCATCGTTGTGAAAAAGTTAGTTTTCAAGGCCGACATAATTAAGTTCTGCTCCAGCATTGTATTTAATAGTCGATTGGCGCGCACTAACGATGTAACCGTATTAATTTGAAATTGTTTGACAATATCGGAAACCTCTGCTTCGAATATAAGACGTGTTGACAATTGTGGAGAAACCATTAACATCGATGCAAACTCACCGTATATTTGATCATTGATGAAACTCGATACTGTGCGACATAATAAGGCGAGAGTTTCGAATTGAGATGAAGCTATCAATCGAAAGTCAAGAGGATGATAATAGCGAATTCTATTATTTGTTTGAAATAATGATTCGATCCATTCCGATTGTATTAAAATACTTGAACAGATTGGATGATATTCGGGCATTAATGATAAAAACTTGTCGCGACGAATTGATGTTTGTGTGCATGGACAAGANAAACTCGATACTGTGCGACATAATAAGGCGAGAGTTTCGAATTGAGATGAAGCTATCAATCGAAAGTCAAGAGGATGATAATAGCGAATTCTATTATTTGTTTGAAATAATGATTCGATCCATTCCGATTGTATTAAAATACTTGAACAGATTGGATGATATTCGGGCATTAATGATAAAAACTTGTCGCGACGAATTGATGTTTGTGTGCATGGACAAGAAAGAGTTGTTGAATAGTGATACTGCAAACGCTCAACAAAGGAGAGTGAGAGAGGATTTCCGTATACAGTGATTACATTTGTTTGTACGCTAAAGCCGGAAAAGAGCAGAACAACGATAAGACCAATACCGACCAATATGACATAAAGTCGAGTAGCTAAACGTTGATCTATTACTGTTTCGTCGTTCGCTGAGAACAAATTCAGATTGACGAGTTGATAAATTATTCTGCTACCAATAGCGGTATTAACTTCATCAGTCGACATAATAGTTACAGCGTTTATTTTCTATGAAATTAGATCAACAATTCAAAACCTAAAGAAAAATTCTGCGCAGAAACAATCCTACTCCTTTTTTAAACAACTTTCTCAAACTATCGTTTCCCAATATTAGTAGTAATATTATATATATATATATAGTAATTATTTCCGCTGTCAAAAAAAACTGAGTTAAAAATGGAAAATAAGGCAACAAATATTATAGTCTTTTTTACGCTAAAATAATTCATCAAGAGACCACTTCTATTTTCTCCGTTGATAAAGATCTATTTAGCATGTGAGTATGTCATTCTTCAATAAACAAACCTCACGATCCGAATTTCCATCCTAACTGAAAGAGATCGATTCTCGAACCTTCAAGGTGGAGTAAGGACGTAAATGTTGCCTTATTCAAGATCTACACCCTCACCCACACCCACACCCACACCCCTCAAGAAAATCTTATATCCTATACAATTGATAAACATAACAAGCAACATTCGCTGAACATTTTATTATAAAGCTATTCATTACGTTCAAAAGGAAATTTTTTTGTAACGAAAATAATGAGAAAAGGTGAAGTTTAAAATAACATTTAGCAGAAATATTTGTTATCTTGATCTATTCATCAGTTGAAATACCGCTTTCTGTAATAGTAAACTATGTCATTATAAGTCATCTATGGTTAGACAATCACTCTGGTTTTGATTCAATTGTGACTCATCCATGTTTTATGAATTGATAAGAAACGGTAGTCAGTATCACCATGTGTTAGTATTCAAGTGAGATGAAAAATAAGTTTTTACACTATTTACATTGATACACATCTATCTCTGTTAGTTTCAAAGAACAGTGTGATAGACTTCAAGCTACAGTTTTATATTTTCGATTATTGCAGTAACAAGCAGATGGCCAGCAATATCAACGCTGAAACTATTCCACCACAATCATTAGTTGATTGTAGTTATTTTATGAACAGAATAAAATGCTATTATGGTAACGCTTGTCGTTTTCGTCACTGTCAGCATGCAATACGACAAACCCAACGATGTGCGAAGTGGCCTAACTGTAATAATGTAAAATGTCTCTATCGTCATCCTTCAATTGTACCCAAAGGATGGAAACCAGTGCCACTTCCTTCGGCGAATGTTTTTACACCATCCATTTTATACTCACAGCTCCGAGAACATAAGTGTGATGTAGTGGTATATTCCTACATACATATAGGACTTATCCATATTCAAGTTATATGTATTTTCCTTTCATTCTTGGACTTTTCCTATACATACATATATATATATATACGCATGTGTGCTGATATAGGTGTGTGTGTATCCATCTATACTTTCTCCTGTTCTCTTCTCTTCTGTCTTCTCCCTTCAATAAAGATACTCTTTCCGAAGATCGTATTTTATTGAACATCAAGACGTGACAATAAGCAGAAGTCATCTGAGAATGTTGTTGGCATATTTTGGGACTTAGAAAATGTCCAAATACCTCGAACACAAAAACCATTCGATATTGTCCAGCGCATCCGAGAGATGCTAGTCATTAAGGCAAACTTGCAGGAAATTGGATTCACATGTTATTGCGATGTCTCTACTATTTCACAAATCAATCAAATTAGCCTCATACACGCTAATGTGCGCATTGCACACGTGCCCAATGGAAAGCCAGGCAGTGTCGATCGTCAGATTCTGCTCGATTTAGATCGTTTTGAGAGAGCTCATGATCCCCCAGCAACAATTATACTCATTACCGGTGATATCGATTTTGTCGGCAAATTATCAGATTTACGTCACCAGGCTCATTTTCATGTAATAGTAGTGCATAACAAATCGGCGAAAGAGGAGTTGAAAGCGATCGTCAATGCATACTATAGCTGGGATTTGTTCACCGCTCCGGATAAAGTTCTGTACCTTAATGACACTTTGGATACCCCAGCACTCTCTCCTGGCGCTCCAGCGAGTAGTAAAATGGATAATTTCATCGATTCAAAAAATCTAAATTTTGAAACTCCGATACCTGTAATCAATGCATCTCATGAAGCAAATTATTCATTTGAATGCTCAGTATGCACCAGAGTGTTTATTAATTACGATGCTCTCCGCCAACATCAAAAAGCTAAACGGCACTTATTTAACTGTTAGTTTAGCAGCAATTGCTTCTCTACGCGTATTCCTCAATTACGGCACAGAGAAAGACAACAAGAATAAAAAACTAATCAAAATAGTGTACGTTGATTGTAAGAAACTTTTTATTCATTTTAGAAGCCTCGAACGACATTTAAGTATTTCTGCTTCACAGTGATGATGAACTCCTTTCTTACGGAAGCTGAGAGCGTGCTTGTGATCATACATCTCACAATCCTACCTACGCCCACACTCACGATTTCTACTAGCCTTATCATTGATCCATTCCACTTAAGAAACATTCAATTCGATTTGATAATCATACTGTTCATTCATAGAACTCATCCGTATTATGAGGAATTTTGATGAGATAATCGACAATCGGAATTCAGTCAATTTATTGAAGGTAGTCATTTTCAGAATAATACTTTCAAAGAGCGTTTTATTTGAATTCAAAAGTCGATATTACTGTTGTTTAACCCAATTTTCATTGAATCTAACGTATTTAATCGTTTGTCTATTATATGAATAAACTAAATGAATATCATTGTCATCACTTGCAGTCCAAGTAGTTTGTAATATGGATGGATAAGAATAATCTCCAATAAAAGTCGAATTATCATCATCATGAATTTGAACATCTCTACGATGTGGCCATGTCATGCCATTATCATAGGAAAGTGCAACAGTTAAGGGTGATCTAGCTGTACCGTTCAGATTATTAAATGCCATAATAATAGCTCCACTTTTTAATGCGTACGCTTGAATCGCTGCGTCATTATTCGGTAGAACGGTTGCTTTTGGTATTGTCCAAGTTAATCCATCATCATTACTATCAGAATAATAAATCCATTGAAATCTTTTATCACGCAAAAATGCTCGTAAATTTTTGGAATTATCCAAGCGAACAATTGATGGCTGAACAAGATAATCACTTTCTGTCATATTAATCGGAACTAACTTCGATGTTGATGATGATCTTCGAAATATAAACGAATAATCATCTGTATGATTTAGTGTCGAATTATAGCATGGAAATATCAATCCTTCTTTGTCAAATGTTGGAATTACACGATTGCGATCCCATACACCTAATGTACTATAAAATATTTCCGGACTTGACCATTTTGAACCTAAATGAAAAGTGAATATATAAATCAATTTTAAATATATATACACATACCTTGATCTTTACTATGTAAGTGCCACATTTGAGCATAATTCTCTTTTAAATGTCCTAATTGTTGCGTGTGATATAAATGTAATATTTGTGTTTGATTATCCCAATAAAGAACTGGATTTTGATTAGAATAATTCGCACGTTCGCTAACAACTACACCAGCTGTAAATTGTTGTGAACCGAATGCTAGTAGTGATACTGCTATTGAACAGTTCGGTTGTTGTTCACCGCCTGAAAACCAAGCAACAGCTAATGTACCACTTGGACTCATTTCTTCAACGAATGATGCATGATTACTCATTTTAGGTGAAGATAAAAATGCATAAGAGCTTCCATCACTAGATCGATGAATTATTCCATCATAAGGGATCAATCCATTTAATTCA